ATGATCATTCTAAGCATTGTTTTTACGTCTCTTGTCCTGTAAAACTGTAGGTGGGAACATAAAACCAACACTCCCCATCCCCAGCCCTGACCCTTTTCCCATTTCCTGTCTCTATGACTTTGTCTTCTCCAACTGCATCCTGTCAGTGGAATCATAAGGTTGTGGCCGTGACATGGACATCACTGAGCCTGTGTCCTCGCGGGTCACCCAGGCTGTGTCATGCTCAGAGTTCCTTGATGAGGGCTGAGCAGTAGAGCCTGCTCCTGTGTGTGTGTACAAGCTGTCCTTATCACTTCCTCTGCTAGGAGACACCTGGGAGGCTCCCATCGTGTCGGAAGTGGTGCTCTTATGAGCATGGCAGTACACACAGCCCTTCGAGGACTTGGTGTTTTTGAGTGTTAAGCAGAAATGGAATAGCTGCCAGCAAGTGATAATTTCACTTTTTGAGAAAGAACAGTGCTGACTGGCACAATGCTGGGCCCTTTGGCATTCACACCAACAGAGCCAAGGGTCCCAGTTTCTCCAGACCCCACCAGCACTCCCTTTGTTCTGCTTTGTGTCCCAGCCAATGCCATGAGTGTGAGGTGGTAACTCAGTCTAGCTCTGCCTTGCCTTGCTCTAATTGGTGATGTGGAGCACTTTCTCAGGTGCTATTTGACATCTGTGTATCATCTGAGGGACATGTCAGTCCAAATGCTTCACCCATTTCAGAATTGAGTTGTTTGGGTTTTGTTTTGACACACCTGTTTTGTAAATGGAATATTAGTGGAACACATGCATCCATTCCTTCAGGTATTCTGTACAGTTGACTTTCCTTTTTCTTTTTTTTTTTTTATTGGAAAGTCAGATATACAGAGAGGAGGAGAGACAGAGCGCAAGATCTTCCCTCTGACGATTCACTCCCCAAGTGACTGCAACAGCTGGTGCTGCGCCAATCTGAAGCCAGGAGCCAGAAACCTACTCCAGGTCTCCCACATGGGTGCTTGGTCAAAGGTTTTGGATCATCCACGACTGCCTTCCCAGGCCACAAGCAGGGAGCTCAGTGGGAAGCAGCACTGCCAGGACTAGGACCAATGCCCATATGGGATCCTGGCATGTTCAGGCAAGGACTTCAGCATCTAGGCCACCATCAGGCCCAGCTGACATTTGAAAACCAAAATGTTGAGTAACTGTGACAAATCATGACCCAGAAAGCCTAAAATCTTGGGCATCAAAGAAAATGTTTTCTGATCCTGTACTAGTGTACAAGTATATGCACTTATGTTTTTTAATCACATTGTCACTTTGATCTTCCGTTACATTTAAACATGTCTGTCCTCAAATCAAATAGACTTAACCAATTTCCACTCACCTATTGCTTAATGGTTTTTTACATTACAGTTGTTGCTACCTTTTTTTTTTTTTTTTTTTTTTTGCGAACAGAAAAGTTTGTGATGCGACCAGTTGAGCAGGAAACGGAGGGAAGTGGAAAGCATTTCCGGAAAGGAAGCCAGGAGATGGGGTTCCTCTTGAAAGGGGAGGGAGAGAGAGACAACAAAGATTTGAGGAAGCTTTGGGATTTTAAGCCTTCCTTGAACCTACCTTGTTGGGTGGGGAACCTAAAGGTAAGATGTTCCCTCTTGGTGGTCTCTTCATTAGTTAGAAAATGGGTGGGCAATGCTGCTGCTGCCCACTTGAAGGTTGGCCAAGACCTCAGCAGGCCTGGATGGTCTCAGATCCCCCTCTTGAAATCCCACATCCTACTTCTGTAGGGGTAAAGGGCAACAATGTCTTCTGGCTGCTTCCTGCTGAAATTGGGCATGGTTTGGGTAAGGGAACAGAAATGTGGGATCCAGAGGGATGGTTCAGGTCATCTACGCTGCCATGGAACAAGTTGGTTTGGTTGTCATAGGAGCTTGTGTGCTCAAGGACACCTGGAGTCTGAAGATACCTTGTAAAGTCTTCTCTTGGTTGAGCCGAACCACGTGGCTCCCGCCTGTCTCTTTTTCATGCCCCACGTTGGGCGCCAAGGAAAATATGTTACCAGAAATGCCCAGTGGGTTCTTTCCTCAGCTTAGTATAGAAATAAAAAGCCAGGAATCTGTTGCAAACAGAAAAGTTTATTTGCGAAGGGACCAGGTGAGCAGGGAAGGGAGGGAAGGGGAAAGCACCTCAGGAAAGGAAGCTGGGAGGTGGGGTGCCTCTCGAAAGGGGAGGGAGAGAGAGACACGCTGTTGCTACCTTTTATTTGACCTTAGTAAGTGCAGCTATTGGCACTGACCACTGGTGCAAACTCCCCTCCTGCACTAAGACACCAAGGTCAAGTACACCACTGTCCCGCCAATTTCAGAAGGCTATTCCATATGCGTTCACCACATGAGTCTTCCTCCTTTGCAGGTGACCTCCGATGGAATTCCAGGTTCTGCTGTAGTGCCACATCATGGGGCAGCAAACCAGCCCAGCCCAGCCCAGCCCATCTCAGGAAGGTTGTCTCAAGGGCAGGTGCAGCACCTTTAACGGTGAAGTGAGAGACAGCTGCAGGTACCTTCTCTGATCCCTGAATGCTTACAATCTCCTGCATGTGACTCTGTACCTCCTCAGATCCAGATGGTTATTTCCACAGCGCAAAGTCCCATTCATGGCAGAACAGGCTGGCTTTGCATTCCCAGGAGGCAATTCTTCCACATTTCCAAACTTCCTGAACACCTGATGCAGGCCAGGCACCATGACACATATCACAGGGAAGACACGGAGGGATTCTCTTCTCTGTTAATTGACTTCTTCTCAGTTCGTGTAGAAAAACAAACAAACAAGTACAACAATTATAGATAATGTGACACTATTTATTGAGAAACATTCTGAAAATATAGACCAGGAATATCCATGTCAGGGAAAGCACCCTGGAGCAGCTCCCAGTGGGTTGCCTGACGACTGCCAGCCCCTCCCTATCAACCCTGCAGCTCTCAGAAACAGAGCCAAGCTGCATCAGGTTTCAAACCGTGACACCATGATCCAGGAATGAGGAGCCACGCAGCAGGAAGAAACCAAGGAGAGGAACAGAGCAACATGCACAGGGCACAGATATGACCAGCACACCATTTAACCTCACCTGACCAGGTACACCCACCCACAGCATCCTGCTCCCCAGGTCCTGCTGTGGCAACAGAATGAAGATCCTGAAACTCCAGCACAGTCAATGCCAAGTCAGGGCTTTCAGGGAAGAGGACAGACCCAGGCTGAGATTCAGGCTTCCTAGGGAGCACGCAGTGCAATGGAGACCTTGCTCTGGAGCAGGGTCAGCACAGGCCCAGAGATCTCTCTGTCCGGAGCTCAGGGCCACTCAGGCCCCTCACAGCAGAGTAGGAGCCATAGTATGGGCCTTAGTGTAGGAGAAATAGCCCAGGGGCTGTGGCTGAGGGAGAGGGCAGAGCTGAGGCTGGCTAGGGTCTGTATGGGAGGCGCTGGCTTAGAGGACAGAGTGCAGCAGGCTGGGCAGCAGAGAGAGGACTGAGAAAGCTCAAGCAAGGCTGGAGACTGAGCTGCCCAAAGCCTATACTATCTTTGAAATTATACCCTAATCTCCTGTCCACTTGGCCATCTTAGAAAACACAGGTCTTGGGATGAAGTGACTGGTCTTCATGTAGGCAGCGATATTTGGCAGGGCCTGCAGGGGCAGAAACAAAAGCACAGTTCAGTCTGTGCCTACAGTGGAGTTCCAGAAACCCCAGTGCAGGCACAGCCCCGATCCTTCCCCAGTGAGTCAGTACATCCTAAATGTAGGAAACAGCAGGAGGTGAAGCAGCACAAATTTGAGGCCAGGCTCCAATCCTTCCCCTGACACAGGAAGTTCTAACTCCTCTATTTGGTATCTGAACACAACCTCACTGTGCGTCTATCCCCTGATCCGGAGACATTATACAGTGAACAGCAACAAGCACAGTCCTGGGACATGCACCTGCACGCCAGGGCTGACAGTGCCCACAGAGGTTCTCAAGAATTCAGGGGGATCCAGAGTGTTCTGAGCCAAATTAGCCTGGCCTGGCAGCCACATGGTCCAGCACACAGATGTCATCTGGTCTCTCCTCCCTGGCTCACAGAGCTGAGCAACTGTTGCATAATCCCCAATGTCACAGGACTGGACCTGATCCAGAGCTAACGAGAAGGAACTGAACGGGCACATCTTTCCAATGGAAGGAACGGTACAAATAATGTAATAATGTAGAATGAATAACTTGTGAACCCAAACCTCAGACATCGAAAACGTGATCAAGTAGACTTTATCGCAAACTAGATGACCCAGGGTGACTGACGGGACACTGAGAGGTGTGGCTTATGGTGTGCCCCTGTGTTACCCCTTCCCTCCCACCTGCTGTGCCTGCAGTTCTCTAACTGGCCTCAGCTCCAGCAAGGAGTCACCTTTCCACACACATAAAATTAAACATCAGGGATCTGCAAAATGTCACAGACAGAACACGTGGGACACTTGAATGAGAAAAAAAAAAAGTGAAAGAAAATTTTCACTACCAATTCTTTAAGACAAGAATGTGCACTTGGGGCACCCCTGTGACTACTGAGATTCTACAACAACAACACAAGTTGAGCAGCTCATTGCTTCCACATAGGGACCTGATTGCTTCAACTGCTCAGGCAATCAAGCACATGGAGTTCTGTGTCTGACACTGAAACTCAATTCTAACACATCTCACACCCTGATGCCCGCTAAAAAGAGAGGCCTCTCCTACAGTCTCCATGGGTGGGAGACAAGACAAAGGTCTGAGGCTGCTCCTTGTAGCACAAGATTCAGAGAAGCCTGACTGCTGCCCCTACACATGAGGGGTTACTGGGAGCCAAGCACAGCTGTGATGGGCTCTGGGAACCTGACAAGTGGCTTTCCCCCTACTGACTCAGGTTCCTTATGAGTCCTTATGGGTCTTGCTGTCAGGGGTTGGTCTGCAGCTCAGCTCCAGGACTCAGAGGGCATGAAGGAACTGGAAAAGTGGAGAGAAGGATCAGGGAGTCACCTCAAATCTGGCCATGAAATCCTTCAGGTTTGGGAATGCATCCAGGCAACCAGGAGCAAAAATACGGTTCTCATCCAAGACATCATAAACATGGAAATCAGCAATGGTGATCTGCAGAAGCCAGGAGGAGAGAGCTCAGGACCAGAGGAAACCGACCATGCCCCCTGCTCCTGCCTCCCTCCCTCCCTCGGTCTCACCTTGTCCCCTGCAAACCAGGGCCGCTTCCCCAGGAACTGGGAGTACAGTGTCAGCTTGTCTGGGAGGCCCTTGAGGTAGTCAGGCTTCAGCTTCTCCTGATAGAACAAAAGGCTGTCAGCACCCACAGGCACAACTTTGGGGAGAGGGGCTGCCTGTCAGGGCTGCACATGGCCCCGCTGGCCAGGGGAGCATCCTCACTGAGTGTGGCACAGGGTCTGTGTTCCTCCTCGGATTTCATTCATCAGCATCTGAGAGACTCCCACCGGCCCCCATCCCATCTGTGGGAGACTACCAGAAATCACATAGAAGTCCAGTTCTGTCCCTGAATGTGTCACCTCTGATGTCCAAGCATCCTGCTGTGGGTCACTCCCAGGGGTGCCATGAGTGTAGGTTCCCTCAGACTCAGCTGGGGGTGAAAGCAAAGAGGCAGAGAACTAAAAGACCTTGGCAAAGAAGACGAAACTCTACCTGGTGGGCTGGCAGGAGAATGCTAGAGGCATGTGCACAGCTCACAAAGGATGAGAATGTGATCTGCAAGGTTGAAGGGAAAGGAACCCAGGACCTCTGGGTGACCCCGGCTCCCCACTGGGGAAATATGCTTATCCCTGTGGGACACAGAGAGAACCCTGAGAAAAAATGGCAGATGCCCCCATCTTGAATTAATGTCTACAACAATACTGCACATCCAGACACTGGTACATGACAGAAACACAATGAAATATGGCCATGGTAAGAGTCAAAGTTTAGGCACAAATGGGAGTTTGAAGCAAATTTTCTTACACCTGACTGTTGACCTAGAATCATTGGGCTGCTGTAGGACCTTGCTCAGATTTTATTTCCCAAGGCTTAGACTACAGAATCAATGTGTTGGTCAGATAGGAAATTGCTTGGAGAATCATTCTCCCTAGGGAGTTTAGTAGCAAACAGGAGCAGTGCCGATGAGAACACAAGAGGTTAATTAGTTCCTCACTGAACCCATCAGGTCCTGTCCAGTGGGGTACTCACAAAGTCAGAGTTGTAGCAGATCGTAATGAGTTGCATGCGGTTGTCCATAGCCTGGTTCTCCAAAATGTCCACGCGAATCTTCTCCTCTTCCGTCTCCCCACCTGCAGCACACACAGCACACACAGCAGACACCCTCAGCATCCCACCCAGCCAGGCCCAGGGCACAGCCACAGCCCCACGCCCTCAGACAGCCCCACTCACACAGGTTGTGCTTGCGGCCGAGGTAGCGCACAATGGCATTGCTCTGGGTGAGCTTGTGAGTGCCGTCAATCAGGTAGGGCAGCTGGGGAGGGAGGAGGGAAGTCAGCTGGGTTCCCAGGTGCCCAGCATCCCCTGCCCTGAACAAGGGCACACAGGGGACTTGGCATTCTCTGTGTATAGAGCAAGGCAGGCTCCAGAGACACATCTGTACAAGCAATGAGTGAGCTATGACATAGAAGCCAGTGGAAAAGCCTTGTAGAGAACCGGGAATGACAGCGGCTGAGCACAAGGTCCTGGTCCTGAAACCTCTAAGCTTGGGAAGGATGTGGAGGCAGAGAGACACCTTGCACTCCCCTGCCCTCAGAGCACCCCATCCCCTGTACTTACATTGGGGAAGTCCAGGCCCAGCTTGAATTTCTCATTCAGCCAGTGGCTTCGGTCATAGTCGGGAGCTGTGGGAAAGACCAAGAGAAACAAAACCTCCCCCATGTGTAGCCTCTTTCCTTGGACCCTCCCAAAGAGTCAGGGGCAGGACACGTGGGATCTGAGCCCCTCATCTCACATTCAACATCTGGGGGAAGGGGAAAGAATGATTGTAAAGGCTCTGAACCACAAAGCTTGTAAGCTGTGTGGAAAAGGACTCAATGCCGAAACACATTCCCAGCACCCCTTCCCAGAGCCCTGCCTCTGGAGGCCATCCTCAGACTCCATTCCAGCTGTTAGAGGATGCACCGGTGAGCCACAGGTGGCCAGACAGGGGTTACTACTAGGTGACAGATGCAGAGGGCAGAGGCAGAGCAGGCAGGACCTTACCATCGCCCAACTTGTATTTCTTTTCCTCATAGCTGGTGTCCGTATACTCCAGGAGCAGGCGGATGGAGTGAGCCAGCTGGGGAATGGTCCAGAGCAGAGATCAGAGATTTTATGGCCCCCGACTGCTGCCCCCATCTCCTCCAGGGGAGCCCTCCAACTCTATACCTAATAGGATTCAGGCGCCTGCTGCCCCTCCCCCACTCTGGGATGCCTGTACTGGGAATTCCTGGGAGCCTGCCTAGGTGGAGTCTTCCCAAGCTGCTTTTCGCTCTCCGCCCCCACCCCACGTTCAAGCCCACGTCCCTCCCGCCGGGCAGCCCCCTCACTCACCCCGCGGAGATCCCAGTAACCCAGCGTTACAGGCATGTTGCTGCTGCTACTGAGACCTGGGAGACTGGGCTTTCGCAGAGGAGCCTGGGGTTCTTTTGTCGCGTCAGGGGCTGTTGAGGGGAGTGGCTTCTGTGAACCCGCCCCGCGCCGCCCCGCCACGAATTCCAGGCAGCACTGAGGGCTTGCAGCCTGGTGATGCTTAGCTCTGCCCCACCCACAAGAATGAACCAGAGCTGAGTCTGCAGCCAGGATTCGGGGACAGTTGGAGGCCTGCAGACCAAAGCCAAGTGCTGGCCCAGCACTGGCAATGCCCGCAAGCCCTCCTTGAGGCTCCCGCCCCTCGCTTACCGCCTGCTGGGCCCCAGGCTTTGGCAGTTCCCTTGAAAGTAATGCCAGGCCTTTAAGCTGCCACGCAGTTTCCTTACTGTCTCTGTGAGCCGGGTACTTGGCTCAGTCCTCATCCCAGGGAGGAGCACCACCTCCCACTCTGGATTCTGGGAAGACAGGCTGCTGGGCCAGACCAGGATGGGGTGCCCCTTGACCAGGGGCAGGGACAGTAAGGGTGACCTCCCTCTTCCCATAAGGAACTGGAGCAACTGAGTTCCCTGAGGTGTTTAAGGATTATGTAAAGTAGCTGAATCCTATTTTGCTCCAGTAAGGGGGCAGGTACACAAGAGCCTCCCTGCCAGGTGGCTGGCTTTGGATGCATCTGGTTGGAGTGACCAGTTCCTCTCCAAGGCAGAAGCAGGGTCTTTAAGGGGCCATGGAGTCTTAGGGCTCTGCACTCCTTCAAAGCTCAAAGCCAAGGGCCAGATCTTCTTCCCATCCAGCTCCCTGCTACTGGCCTAGGAAAGCAGCAGAAGATGGCCCAAGTGCATGGGGTCCAGACTTCCCAATGGGACACCAGGATGATCTCCCCAGCTCTGGCTGAGGCCATTCAATGGGGAATGAAACAGCAGCTGGAAAATTCTCCTCCCACCCTTTCACCCTCCTCCCTCCCTCTCTTTTCTCTCTCTGTAACTCTTTTAAATAAATAACCCTCTTTTATTTTTTTTTGAAATTTTAATTTTAGATGACGTTTACATAGTCCATCAGGATGGGAAGGATCCAGGGTTAGGAGGAAGTAAGTGTGATCATTGTTTCCAAGTTTTGTATGTCTTCTTCCCATTTCTTGGGGGAGTGGGGAGATAAGAGGATAGGCCATAGCCAGCCTTCTAACCATGCCAGTGCCTGTGGATGGGGAAAGGCCACCTGATATCAACTCCGAGTCACAATGGTGCATGTTCTGAAGGTTTTGCCCAGGTGGATGTGATAGTTCCGAAATGCTGTCAATCTCGCTGATCTGTAGATGAGAAATCCCTTCCAATGTCCATTGGCTGACACCATTGACCTCACCTCAGGCAGGGATTTGCTGTCATTGTTTGGCTGGCATAGTTATCCATATGTCCTGTTCTTAATTCTCTGCTATGATACCAGATGATCTCTGCTGATGGGGCCCCATTAGCTACCATGTCCTCCATTGGCACCATGGTATGCCGTCCAGCACTCCATCCTCTACAGTGTGGAGGACCAGTTCTCCCAGGTAAGTTCATGGTCCTAAGTCAGGTGACCTTGGCCATTCCAGGTGCCACAGTTCAGGACTGTGACCCAGAATCCACCAGACCCTCAACACCCAAGCTCAAGGACCTGATCCCCGCCACTCAGGCAGGCCCAAGGACCTAGGCCAGGAAATCCAGGGTCCTCTGGACCCCCACCCCTGTGGGGCTCATGGATCCAGCACTCACTGTGCAGGTGGGCTCAAGGCCCCAGGTCATGTGAACCAAGAACTGCTTGGACCCAATACCCCCAGAGTTTATGAACCTGACACCAACCACCTCCAGACTGTCATGGCTCAGCTCACCTCAACATCTGCCAGTGGGTTCTTCATCCTGGTTTGGTCCAGCCTAACCCCAGTTCCAGCTTATGCTGGTTGGTGCTGTAGCATAACCTTGCACAATCAGCACTCCCTGTCCCAGCTCCAGTGTGAACTGGCTGCTGTTGTAGCCCAACTCAGCACCTCCCACACCCCATCTGTAAATGGATGTTATGATTTGGCATGGCCTGGCACACACCCAGACATGACCCACATGTGTGCCAGCGGGTACTGCAACCTGGCCTGGTTTGGGCTGCTCTTTGCCTTGGTTTTACATTCACCTACAGGGACTGCAACCTGACATAGGAGGTCACCAAGCTCCTCTATCCAGTCTCCTCCCTGTGGCAGATCTTGTACATACTGGTGGGTGCCTGGCCTAGGTTGACTTCGTGCACCTCTTGTTCTGGCAGGAACAATGTCACTGCCCAATCGGCCCATACCTTTTCTGGCTCATATTGTTGGGTGTTGCAGTCCAGCCTCACTTGGCCCATGCCCAGACAGTTCTAACATGGTTCAGCAGGAGATGAGGCCTAGCCCAGCCCATTCTCCATGCATCCTGACTCTCATGAGTACCAGTGGGGTCCTAGAGTCTAGCCCAGCCTGGCCCTCCCCAGACCCAGGCCACACCTGTGCCAAGGGAGATTGCAGCCATGTTCAGCCCAGGACAATGCACTGATTCTGGCACTTGCATTCACCAGTGGGAATTCTAGCTCAGCTGGGGCGTCCCCTTAGCTCCCCAACCAGGCCTATTCCCAGCCCAGTACTTGCACATGCCAATGAAGATTGCTTTTGTACATGAGGGAGCCTACATATTGCACTGCAGATTCTACCTCCAGACCTGATTCACTCATGTATTTGTTGGCTTCATGGCCCAGCCTCACAGTGTCCCGTTCTGATACTTGCTGGTGGGTTTCATGACAACACTTTGAGAACAGTAGCCTTGTCCATGGAAGTCCCTCAGAAGTCATTCCTCAGCTAGACATGAACCCTCAATCTAATTGTGCCATCCCCAAGTCCCCAGAGCACACTACCAGTCGGCTTGAGGGGTTCACCTGGCATCATTGGCACCAGGGCCACCCGAGTTCCCTTGGCCACAGCCACACAGGCAAGCTCTTGATCTACCCACAGCATAGCAGTGGTGGATGAAGCCAATATCCTGAGGTTCAAGCCCGGACCGCCTCAAGATCCACCCACAGCATGATAGCAGTGTGCAAAGAAAAAATCCCAAGGTTCAAACACAGACCAGCTCAAGATCTACCCACCTCATGGCGGCTATGCACAGAGCCAAAATACCAAGCCTCAAGATCGGCCCAGCCTTAGTTCTCCCAGTCACAACCATGAAACCTGGGAAGCAAAAAGTCCAAGCCTCAGTGGCTAAAATCCTCACGTTGAACGCACCAGGACCCCATATGGGCGCCGGTTCTAATCCCAGGAGCCCCACTTCCCATCCAGCTCCCTGATTTTCAGGTCTTAACAATGTGTGGCATTCCTTCGTTTTGGCCCTATCAGTCATAACAATCATGGTGGCATGGATTAGGCTGATCCTTGTAGGGTGAGCATCTCTTATTGTCCACTTGTTTGAGTCAGCTTGCTCCTCTTTCCTTCCAGCTCCCTGTTAATGTGCCTAGGAAAGCAATAGAAGATAGCACAGGTATTTGGGCCCCTGCCACTCCCATCGGAGTCAGGCACAGAGTTTGGAATCCTACATTAGGCTTACTTTAGCCCCAGTTATGCAGGCACTGGGGCCAGTGCAACAGAGGATAACAAATATCTCTTTGTCTCTCCCGCTCTATATCACACTGAAATGCTAAATAAATAAATTTTTAAAAAGAAATTTAAGCGTATAAATATTGAGGAAAATGTTGTATTAGATGTGAAGTTTAAGAGCTGATTACTAAAGGAAAAAACTCAGAATAATTTTATCCTTACCGCAGTAGGAAGATGTATAATTATAAATAATTTTATACCCAGTTGATCAAAATTAACAACGATGAAGACATACATTTTAAAATCTTGCATACAAGTATTCTAACCTATGGACTTCAAGTTAAGGACCCACAAGAGATGATCTCATGGGACTAGGATTGATCTGAGGCCCCAGGTGGAGACTGTTTGGTGTCCCAGGTGCCAACGTTCCTTCTCTGGGAATGGCTGCTTTCATTGGTGGCTCTTGCCTTGGTTTGCCATCTCTGCTGCTCATCACAATTTCTGTGCCTCTTGGGACCATGAGGAATCAGTAGGAAGAGACGAAGCTCAAAGAGGTCCCAGGCAGCAGCTTGTAGAAGATCACTGGTTCTTCTTTGTTGTCACGGTCCCTGGGGAAGAGCTGAGGTCACTGGGCAGCTCTGCTCCATGGAGTCAATCGGGCTCAAGCCTTGCTAGAAGGAGTAGCGTCAGGCCCTTATCCAGGCAGGTCTCCTCACACAGGGCACTGTGGGAGAGGCAGGGCATTCAGCAGTGTGTCTGTGGCTGGCAGGTACAGGGCTGAAACAGGGTAGGAGGGAAGCTCTGTGTGCAGGTCACAGACAATGTTCCAGTGTGATCTTCAGAGCTCCTTGAAGCACATGAGTTCCATTCAAGGAGGCACTGATACCAAGGGCAAGTGCGGGTGCTGGATTTGAGAACACAGGGAGGTGGCCTGTTCAATGGTTTTGGTCCGGAAGTGCCTGATGGTGAACCCCATCCGCCCCTTTTTCTTCCTCTGCCTCTCTGTCCTCCTTTAATGGCCCAGTTGTTGTGTGTGTGACGCAGGGTAGGGTCTTGTTTTCACTCTTGTGATTATACCTTGAGATCACTGGGTGCAGGCAGCCATGGCTCACCATGAAGGGAGACCCACCTCCTGGGCTCTCTGTCTCTTGATCAGCAGGTGCACAAAGCCTGGCTCAGTGTCCTCTGGCCTGGTGCTGGGGGGTGGGGCAGTGCTCACTGAAGGAGAAGCAGTTTGTGAACTAGGAGCTAGGGTCCTGTGCCAGGTAGAACTAGGGACTTCCTGCTTTCAGGTCACAGATTAGAGCCTGCAGGATGTGTTTTTTTGGTTTACCTCCCTGTATCAATTTTCATGCAGGATTTGCTGAGTCACTGGGTACAATTTGGGCTCTCTGCTATGTGCACATGCAGCCTGCCCATCCAGATGCTTGTGTGGACAGGAAAGCCAGGGCTTCCTGAGGGGATTGGTGGGATGCAGGCCACAGCAACAGGGAGAGGACAGAGGCAGGAGTGCCCATCAGAG